TTTGCTATCTATGATTATAGATTAGCATCATATCATACAATATTCATATTTTCTTTTACTTAATGTAAAAAAAAAACATTATCATGGTTTGTTAACTATCTCATGGTGCAAATATTTTTAAAAAGAGATATTAAATATATTAAAACCTCAGGAAATCATGATCTTTATACAGTTGCAACTGTCTGACAATAATACAATGTGGGCTCCTGGTTCAACAGTTGAAAGTTAATGATTTAAGTCCTTCAAATGATAAAAACAGCTTTTCTTTTCTCTTTTTTAGTTCTCCACATCTTTAGTGCAAAGAAAGCATTAAAACCTGTCACTGCTATCACAACTATCTAAAAAATTAAAATGGGAACATCACTTTATTATAATCTACTATTTATTATAAAATGATACCAAATAATAATTTATGCGACAGTTATCGTTTCCTACAAGTTACTGACAAAATAAAATTTGGACCACATACACTGGTCCTGTAGCTACTTTAGGGTCGGTATATTAATTGTGCTCTTAAATTTTGGCATTTTCAAGGGGACCCTGATTTAGCGAAATGTAATATTGGCAAAAAATAGAAAAAAAATCACTGATGAAACTCCTATTCAATAGCATAGCACTACTCGATAAACCCAATCTATCCATTTAAGGGCAGAACAATTAATAGGATCACCCAATCTACTGTTATCTTGTTATAGATCTTGCCTTTCTTGTGTACTAGCTTGTTTAAGTACATGTACAAACTATTATTAGCAGTGACTAGTTGAACTAGCATTTAGTGTACTCACTAAAATGCTAAAATCAAGCGTCGTAATTAATACCTACCCTAAGGTATATGTGCGGGCTAAACTACTGAAGTGTATTTTGAAAATTAAATTATGCCAGAAATGGATTCAACTCGGTATATGAACTACAATTAATTACTTCACATTGTATACCGTAAAGCACAAAATTTTCAAGGGCTATAAATTTCCCGAATTTGCCTAAAAATCTATTTTGCAGATTCAATTTTTGCAAATTTATGCTGTTGGCCATTTTGTACCGTAATAATCCTCTTAAATTTAACAATAATATTAATGGCATGTAAGTCAGTAACAATTATTGATAAATGACTGGAAATCTTTATTTAATGAATTATCGATAGTTCAATGCACATAATGGTTATAAATGACCAATTTATAAAAGGTTCCTTAACCTTTTATTACAAGTATGTGTATGTACATGTACATGTACATTGATAAGAAATTACATGTACATTGTACATGTAATTTATGAGTTTCAACTATTTATTTATTTACTTGTTGTTCTTTGTTGGTTTGTATTGGATCAGTTCTTAAATTGGTTCCTCTTTGAGGCCCTCTCTCCTTCTCCAGCTGGTAAGTGAGTGTAATTAGTCGAAGATCAACAGCTGATAGACTTTGATAATCACCAGTCTTCTTAGAGAAATCAGTTACTAGAGGAGAGGGAGGGAGGAAAAAAAGGCAAATATGAAAGGAAGAATAAAAGTTTATGGTAGTTGGTTAGATGTTCATTTATTGTTATACATAATGTTCTTATGTTGCGTAGAAAGTTTGAGCTGCTTTTGATTAGAATTAGGCTTTTTATTAATTTTTTAAGTTGCTCCAAAATTGGGCCAAAGTCCCTGTGCTATAGTACAGGGTCATTGGCCAAATTATAAATTGGCCAAATTATTATAAAATCAGACCATAATAATAACCTATGTAAAAATTATGTTTTCGTACAAGTCACTGACAAATTTAAATTTGTATGACGTACTCTGGTCCTATAGCTATCTTAGGGTGCATGGGTATTAATTGCACTCTTTAATTTAGTTCAGAGTTTTCAAGAAAACACCGATTTGGCAAAATGTAATATTAGCAAAAAATAGGAAGAAAATCCTTGATGAAACTCATATCCAATAACATAGCAATACTCTATCTATTAAAGAGCAAAACACTTAGGGATCATCCTATCTACTGTTATCTTAGTCCAGATCTTGCCTATCTTGTGTACTTGTACTACCATATACTGGGAAATTTTGGAGGGGATTAAATTTGGCAAATTTGGCATTTTGATAGCTATTCACCAAAATAAAAATCCACCATTTTGAGCCGTTATACACATGCTTAATGGCCCATGGCCACAAATCCAAAAATCCGCCAATCACCAAAATTTAGCAATTCACCAAAATTTAGCCCCTCCAAAATTTCCCACTATACAGTATTAGCGGCTAGTTGAACTAGTGTTTTTAAAAGTACACTTGCTAAAAATTCTAAAATTAAGTGTCGTAATTAATACCCACCCTAAGTAAATTGGACTTCTATATAACAAATTGGAGTTTGATATGATAAATTTGAGTTTGACATAACAAATTGGAGTGCAATAAAAGAAATTGGAGTCCTATAGTAACAGATTCCAAGTTATTATATCAGACTCTAATTTAATACATAGAATCCCAATGTTATAAAGTACTCCTATTTACTATAGGACTCTAATTTCTTTTATTGCACTCCAATTTATCATATCAAACTTCAATTTACCATATCAAACTCCAACTTGCTATAAAGGAGTCCAATTTACTACATCAGATTCTAATTTACTTACTAGGTAAGATTCCAATTTATCATATTGGATTCTAATTTACCATATCAAACTCCAATTTGCTATAAAGGAGTCCAATTTACTATATCAAACTATAAAATTCAAATTATTATATCAGATTTAATTCATTAGTAGGAATAAAATTTACATGTACATACGGTATGTACGTGCAACAGTATCATGTAGTAAACTCAATAGATATATATGGCATCAAAAGTTGTAGAATAATTGGTTGCTGATAGCTCCGTCATACATAATATAGAATTTAATTATTGTTGTAACCACAAAATTCAATGATAATGTAAATGGTATCCATAGCTCTGCAATGTCTGTATGGCATCTTTTAATATCGGCTGGATCTATCTGTCGGAGCATAACCACTTTAACCGGAAGAGTATTTAGTAGTACATGTGTATGATTCTTAGCTGCAACAGTACATATTATTATTTTATGCAATTTATTGTTGTCAGTATTAATTTATCTATTATTAAAAAAATTTTTTGTATATTTTAGATTGCCAAATATGATATGAATGATGAGGTTGGCCAGGTTTCTTTTGACCTCCCCGCTGAAGGCGACCAAATGTTTGAGAAACCGTACAGCGAGGCAACAGCTCAACTAATAGATGACCAAGCAAGAGACCTCATTTCAAGACCTTACAATCAAAAATACAGCTGCTAGAAGTGAAGAGAGAGTCTGTCGTCAAAGTGGCTGAGAGATTATGACAGCAAGAGGTTCTTCAACATGCAGATATGATAGAACTTTTAGGCCCATGACCTTTTCAAGAGAAATCAACTTATGAGGAGTTTGTGGAAGGTACTGGATCTCTTGATGAAGACACTAGTCTACCAAAAGGTTTAGAAGGAGTGAAAGATGGAGGAGGAGGAGGAGCTACTGTTTCACCAGATGCAACATCATCATGACATAGATTCAACTGTATCATAAGTAAACATAATTTATTATGGCTAAGTGTCCAATTATTTTGATATACAGTTGACAAGTAATTTAAATTGTTCTTTATTGTAGATATCTGACTGTTCTAGTAGTAGTACTCTAGACTGTAGATATTACTAATAAAGTAGTCCTCTAATTATAACTATAGTAAACTGTACCAGATATCTGACAAATCAAGGGCAGTAAGATAATAACTATGTGGCAAGACTGGCTGTCTAGCCATGCCTCGCTACACCATACTTTCTGGCCGCTGGAAAGGAAGTGGTTCAGGCTCGGGGTCAATTACAAAATTTCATTACAATTACAATTACTAACAAAGCAGCTAAAACCAGATCAATTACAATTACAATGACTGCCATAGATGAGCTTGTAATTACTGCATTAATTACAATGATCCTGATTTTACCTCTATCATGACATAAATAGCAATGATGTTTTACCACATTGCATTGAGTTTTTAAAAGTTTTGTTAATCAGTGAACATTAATCAGGCTTAATATGCTGAAAATTCACTCTAGAGGACTGATATAGGTAGGATATTATCAAAGTAAGATTATAGGCACAATTACAACACATACATATATGTATAACCCAATTACAATTACACTCTGTAATTGTAATTGTAATTATATTTGTAACTGACCACAAGCCTGATGTGGTTACAATCATACATGTGTTTAATAACTGAGTAGACCTAGTATTACATGATGGCTATATAAACCAGCAGCAGTACTTGATCAGAGAGACATCTGTTGATCCTTCTTCACAGGGTATCTATCTATTATGGATAAAGCAGCCAAAGCAATCCCATATTGTGTTGGTAAATGGCTCCCATCTGATCAGGCCGTCCTTGACAAGTGGCTGCAAGATCTCATTGAAGAAGTTGATGGGAAGGATTCCACTGATTGTATTGATGATGTTGATGCTGCAGATGGAGGCCTTGAGATAGTCGGATTAGAGCCACCAGTTAGGGCTCTTCAAGTCCTGATAGAAACGGACTCAGAGGTCAACATGTTCTTCCACCAAATGTTTCGACAGATCCCAGCTAAAGATCCAACCTGTAAACCGCATATTACCAACTATCGTCTTATGTTGCGTCTGATAAACCACATCATGACCAAGGCACCAGAATTCAACGAGTCCGGACTAGTTGGTTTTCCCATCAATGCTATTCTAAATTGGCCTATGGGAACCACAGGAGGGTTTGCTGCCTTTTTGAATGACAAAGTTAATGTTCATTTTAAAAACATCCTCAATCACTGGGCCATCTTCCTTAAATCTGAAGAATCTCGCTATGTCCTTAATAAAGGAGAAAATGGCTGGCTAGGAACTAAAGCCCTGGAACACATGCAGGATTTTGTCACTGATTTCGTATGTGATGAAGACAAAGACTACTATGGCTTCAAATCTTGGGATGATTTTTTTACTCGGGAGTTTCGTGAAGGCATTCGTCCCATTGCTTCCCCTAATGATCCGCAAGTCATAGTAAATGCTTGTGAGTCTGCTCCATATAAAATACAGGAAAATGTGAGACGCCGAGACAGGTTCTGGATCAAATCACAGCCTTACTCCATCTACTTCATGCTTGCTAATGATCCATTAGCAGAGCAGTTTGTAGGAGGCACTGTATACCAAG